TTTTGTAATGTTTGGAATCAAAAGTGGACATTGTTAGGCTGACATAGTACCTATAGTGAATCTGTAAGGCTCAGTTTTGACTGTGTGCACTTAAAATATCCCAAGATGTTATTTTCATCATGAATATGCCTCTGTATGGTAACACATTTCAATTTAGTACTTAGACAGAGGGTGGTATTGCAGCATCAGCTGATATCTGATTCCATTGAATCATTGAATCATTGAACTTAATAACTTGGTAGCCAAGACTCTTAAAAATAGACTACAAATGTTCAAACAGATTATTTGAATCATGTTTGCACATGTGATGTTACCAAGTACATTGCGTATGTCCCACACATGCAAATATCCATCCTTGTTTACAAAATTTCGGGATGAAAATTTCACATTTAGTTGATGATATAGGATCTATTCGTACTTATAGTTGATCTGTGTGGCCACATTTTGCTATATTGATTCGCAATATTTAAAATTGTTTTTTCTTCAAGAATAGGATTGCATATGGTAATAAATTTTAATTTGGTACATTGTCATTTGACTTTCCACTATACTGGTATGTATCAATGTTTGCACCAATGATCAAACCTCACCGTTCCAACATTGCCTTAAACTTTATGATACATACTCTACCTGATTAGTTATTTAACCTGTAAATGGCTAAATATGCTTGTAGAAACTTCATCTATTTTTAGGATGCATTTGTCACTTTAATACATGCCCATTGCTTCACATCTTTGAGTGTCACTCTATCAAGTTTATATTTTTTAACCCTATTTGCAACCTGAATGTTATTTTGAAATCACTATTTCTAACACATTTTAACTTCATTTGCCTACATCTTTCTGGTTTTTTTAGAATTAAGTGAAACATGTTATATCTTTTCAGGTCTAGCCTGGTATCTGGAACAAAGTATTAGAGTTGTATCATTTTGGAAGCTCTCCAGTAGTCCTATGGTGATAGCAAGGTCTCATAAGGACATGTGCAGTCTGCTGCTATAAGTGACCAAGATGAGTTCATATCAGTACACTGATATACAGCATCTCAAAGACATGGCTTAGATCTTGAAGACAGAGATTCACATCATTTTTCAGTAATGTGAAACTTCCCTGAAACTGTATTTTCATATTGCATTGTTGACTTTTGTAGTTAACGGCATTAAAATGGAATGCATATTTGCTATAAAACATAATAATGGGCCCATCATAACTATAAATTAGAATAAGCTATTATTTAAACAAACAACTACCAAAGTACATAAAACAATAAATGTGGAACATAGCACCTGTCATTGTTTCTTTAGTATGTACACCTATATGCATCTGGATAGGAATGTTGCGATATGCTGTCAAAGTCATTGTGAGTTATCATGCTTCAGTACCCCTGGGATTAATATTATCAGTTGTACAGACTTAAACTACCATTTATGTTAAACACCATTCATTAATCAGCTTTTTTCTGCCTTACATTTGTCAAACTGAATGTCATAACTTGTATAAAAATTTAATTTTTGTAAAATAAATAGTTTTTAAAATTTATATATTTATTTAAATTTTCATTAAAATTTAATATATCAATATTTTTTAATTTCAAGAATATTTTCAGACAGGCGGCCTTATCAAGTATTACAATTAGGTTTTTACTGCATTGAAAAATTCCTATAATTAAGGAAGATATCGCAAATTTAGTTTTGGTTTCTTAAGAACAATTGGATCTCAAATTGAACTCTATAGAACACCAGCACTACACACTTTCTGATAGCTGTCAAGAGTTTTGCTTGCAAGGAAATGTCAAAAGACTTTATGTATGAAGTTGAAATATTAGTGGCATGCAAAAAAAAAATGCAAATATAAAAGTTTGATAAAAACATTGGCCCTTTCAGGAATCAGTACACAATTAATAAAATCCGGTTCAGTACCCACGAATGTAGTCCCAGTCTATTTTTAGATCACTTTTTCCTGTCAAAGTTTGGTGGTGATACTAGAGTCAGATTTTGGCATTCTTGGTAAGGATTTAAAGGCAATTGTTTATTCTTTAAAATGTAAGCTTATGGTGTGGTTGTCTGTGTGTATTTCGGCGACAGTGCACATTGTTCATGATGGTCATGGTCATGGTTGAGGATCCGGAAGTGAAATCTGTGTTCTGTTGCCTGTTGTTTTGTTTACAATTCAGCCTCTCAAAAAAATGCAGGTCAACCCTTGACAAGAACTAAACCGTAAAGTCATCTTTGAAGGTATTTTAGATTAACATATGATTTGTATTGATTGTCACACAGTGGAAAGGTTAGTACTGAGAAACAAATGTAGAGACAATATAGTGAAATTAATTGTGTACTATGGCCTGATAGGAGAGGCTTCACCTACGCAATAACCCGGATGTTGTATCTAAGACTGTTGTACGTCACGCCGAATCCATGAATTGGAGAGACGTTTTACCGCGTCTTTACCTCGCTAGTTATTGGCCGGGATAATTGCCAGATAATCTTGTAAATATCCACTGCATTTATGAAACTTGGATTCGTACACTTGGAATTGTCATGCTTTTGCGGCACCCGTTGCAGTAACGGAAAGTGTGTAGACATTGTTGTTCATCGCCAAGTAAATAAGCTGTTTCAGCCTCCCACCCCCTTTGAATAAAGTACAGACATTATAAGCATGTCATATTTTCTCATGCCAGAATCCCATGCTCTCGTGGAGAATTGCCTTATCTGACATCCTTCTACGCAAGGAAATCATTGTCTAATATTTTACATTATTTTCTGTACTTTTACAGGATCAGAAAGCTCGCACTTTCAAGATGCTATTATGGTAATATTGAATGAATCAGTCGAATAGCAATCGTCCTCGCTATAGTCATTATTTGTGGTTGAGTATTAACTGTCATGGTCGCTAGGTTTGTAAATGGCAACTCGGCTTGAAAATTGAATGGCCTGAGAAAATCTCATACTTTAATATATCCTTATATAAAAGCCAGTTCCTCACTATACTAGCAAGTAACAGAAAGACTTATTAATAAGTGTATATGCAAATATTAATCGGTGTGGAAGCAGTACTACATGAAAATTACTCATGTTTGAAGATTGCCTGTAACACATTTCTAAGCTCATCATTTATGCCAAAAATCATGTTATCATGTATGTATTAGCACTGTACTTATCATGGTCATGGATCTTTTAGTAATTATAAATACAAACAACATCAGCAATAATAATAATAATAATAATAATAATAATAATAATAATAATAATAATAATAATAATAATAATAATAATAATAATAATATGTTGAGATGACGTTGTAAATAGTCCTTTAGAGTCCGTATTTCTTATTAATTAGCAATTGTCACTTTCTTCTGAAAATATGCTCCTTTGATTAGCTCTTTATTGCACTGAAATTTTAAATTTACTTCATTACCCATGAACAGTCACATCTTATTTTAGAGCTTTTTTTTGTTCTTTGATTTTGATGGTGATGCAAGAGCTAGATTTAGGTGTTGGTTTAAAGGAAATTGTTAGAATATGGAGGTTATGTATTGGTTGTCTGTGTGCTGACAGTGCAACTTGAATAATGAGGCATTGTTGTTGTTAGTCAATGGGGCGGACGGGTGGTACCATATTGAAAAATAGTATCTGGATGAAAATTTGCTGGAAAATTATTATCTCTTATCTACCTATACAATTTCCTAAGTTTTCTACTAATACGTTTTATCTCATTTATATGAAACAAACACTCAGTCTCTGAAGAAAATCCCCGTGGTTACTTTTATTGAATAACATTAATTCTTTTCTGCACTCTGGACGAGTGAAGTTACTGAACTCTATGGATAGAGTTCTGTGTTTTGCAATTTTCCGTGACTTCCAAAACGTTCTTAGTTTGACAGACTTCTACATATTGTGTTCAATTCATTTTCAGACAATGATTTGTCCTGAAATTAGTAGACATGTCTTAGGAAATTCACTTAGGTAATGATATATAAATATTTTATTGGAGAGTTTTACAGATCTTTTCAATGTTCTGTATAGTGAAATCAGTTATATTACAGGCATGTAGAGCACATCAGAGTGATGAAATGGTGAGTTATCTCGACAACAAACAACATCATAGACAATTCGAGATGCAGATCAGATCTCTCTAATTCCCTTAGGTTTCAAAGCTTGTCTCAGATTTGTGGGCTCATTCAAGCTTGTGCGATATTGAAGAAAGGGTCAGCAAGCAGGTGAAATTATGGCGGATAAGGATTTTGACTTGTTCGACTTCACTAATACAAGAGGAATCAAATTGAGCAATCGCGTAATATAGTGTCAAAGACTTGACATATATCAGATTAAAACTATTAGAATAATAGCTTTAAAACTAGATGTATAAAAAAGCCATTGAAGGGTTACTAACTTTCACATCTTCTAGAACATTATACCGATTCTCTAGCAAGACACTTGAAAATCAAAATCTGAGAAATTGCACCATCTCCAAATTTCAGCGATGGAATGTTTGGTCTTTGAAAACGGCATCAACCCCCCCCCAATAATCTAACTTTGAGGAAACTTCACTTGTGTCAAAACAATAGATTTAAAACAGCATGTATTAAATGTAGCAAGCATAAAAACCGCTTGTTTTCTCTTTTACTCAAATCCTGAGTCCAAACTTGTGCATAGTTACATATTTTCTTTATCTTTATCGCTATTGTTGTTATTATTATTATTATTATTATTATTATTATTATTATTATTATTATTATTATTATTATTATTATTCGGGCAATATATTCGTTACCTTCACCAGACACTGCATATAAAACCAGCTGAAGGAAAGTGTCGAGTTTGTTCGAACACTCCATGATCCAATTCTATGCCTTTTGTTTTCTGTCATTGTTGGCAGGCAAGAATTCTTTGTCTTTTGTTTTTATATTAACGGCACTTTAACAAATTAATGGCAGTATAATGCCGAGTAAATGGAAACCATCTGAATATTCCAAGGCAGCGAACCGAGGCTAATCTGGTACCAAACCGAGGCTGAGCTGGTATCAAACTGACGGCCCTTGGATTACTAGTCCAACGCTCAACAAATGAGCTACAACTTCTTGTCTGGGCAGCAAAACTTTTGCAGATTTATTAGTACAGTTTTCTTGTACATAATGAAATTTAATACTGTGCAAATGGCAGTCTTTATAAAAACAAGGACCTTCAACGGACTCTTGGTGGTCATGCCTTCCGAATCAAACGCTACGTCTTAAAAAGTTCTTGATAATTTTACAAGGTAATTTCAACACATTACACTTCCATATATCTCTAACGTGGCTCATATCAGGTATTTTCTCGCCAAAGATGTCCCTAAATGATTTCAATGTTTCGAACTTTCATATTTTTACTTTCTTGTCTCTTTTAGTGTCGCTCGACCAATGTATATCTTGCCTCTCGCCCTTTTATACAGCTTAGCTTTAGTGACTGACACACTTTTACTTCTGACCTGTAATTATGTCTCTATGCACTTTCTGCTTATCTCTTTGTGCTTGAATCAGGCGGATCAAAAAGTCAAGAATATAACTGCAGTTCGCTAGCACTAGAAACATGACTTCCTAAATTGGGTATTTTTAAGGCTGTTGTCAAACAGAAAATTCCCAATTTGTTGTCTCCGTCGTGCAAGTTAATTGCCGTTGAAGCTTACTTCAGTTTAGAAAATGATGGAATATGTGGGTTGAAGATAAAGATTAACGAGAAAACGTGGCAATGGAAACGAATAATCTATGCATAACTGCATAACAATTCCACATCACAAAGTTTATCTAGTTTGTGTTTAGTTGTTGTTATTGTTGTTGTTGTTCTGGGGTTTAAAGCCATTTTTCAGCACACGATAGGCCATACATGGCGGCCAGTATGAATGGTGGAGGAAGAAACTGGGAAATCCGCGGAAAGAACCACCGACCCACGAAAAGCTTCTGCTAAGCATTCTCACATATCCACATTCGCCGAACCTTAGACTCGAACACATGCAGACAGAGGTGATATGACAGTGATCCGTAACGGAGAGCGCTTTAGTGCCCCTAGTTTATGTTTAGTAACATTTTTCATGTTTTTTCCAAGTCAGATAACTGAATAATTAATGGAGCTTTAGGAAGATAGAAAAATGTGCTGCTTTGTAGATCCAACATATGGCCAAAAAGTCTAGGAAGTCGAAAATAGCTTGTTAGGTATTGCCAAGAATGAACTTCTGTACCAAGCGACCAGCTTCATATAATAGATTTTCTGGAGTACATCATGTGCCCAATATTTTTTGATAGTTTTCATGCCAAATAATAAACATTTGTTAACATACAATTTAACACGCTTATACATATACCTCAAAATACGGTATAAGGCATAAGGCATATTTTTTCTACATTGTTTTCTTAACAGAGTTTTGTCATGGTCCCATGAAACCAGCCAAAACAGTTTTCGTTATATCTAATACTTATTCAGCTTTTTAAAAAAACAAAAAAAAAAACAGGCAGAAAGAGTAGTAATTCAAGACCGTTCAAAAAATAATAATAAAGTTCAAACGATCTCAAGCGCATATTAGGACTGTATTTGATAATATGTTATACTAAACATAATTACTTGATAACAAGTTTTGTTATTTCCTGTTATTGCATGATCTATGGGCTGATGTTATTTTTTATTCAAGTTTCTCTTTCCACAGATAAGCTTTGATTGAATGCGCCAACCATGAATGGAACAATACTCCTGGCTAAAAATTTAGAATTTGGAAATAAAACTCCCATTCCTGCTTAAAAAATATACAACATAAGAATCATTCAGACTTTTTATACCACACATCAAAATTTTACGTAGAAGACGCACTTGGTTTAAATAGGTTTACCGATTACAACATACAACATTTCTCCATACCCGCTTGTCAGTGTCCGGATTATTTCAAAGAGAATAACGAGTCTGTAGAAAACACGTATAAAGTCAGTCATTTTATATGTGATATTAAACTATTACAAGCATCATCAAACGGCAACAAACAATTGCTATGAGGAAAACTCCGGAACAGATATTTTTTATTTTACTGTAAACTATTGAATACCATATTTCTGAGCTGAACAAGCATTAATGCAACACCGATCATAATTCTTGCTCTATATAGAGTCTTCTAAATTTACCCACCTCATGAGCGAATAGTACTTTGTTCTTTTGCAGAAGAAGCATCGTTTTAAAGTCCCTCTTTTAAATAGCTGGGAGGGCATTAGACAATTTCAAGAACGTTTTCTTTTCATCATAGTATACACTTAGGTACATCCTCTGAAGGCAATTCGGGACATTAAACTTCACAAAATACACGTACGCAATTATTCTGAACTCCCATCACTTCTGAACCACATTAACTGGCAAGCGGTTGCTAACAGTAATGCACGTCCAACTGGTCACGTAAGCTCTGTATTGGCTTGATTGATTAATTGTCGTTGTACGGCGCACCAACACTTAAAGGCTATATAGAAAATACTAAATGGAAGGTTTTAAGTTAATAAAAGGATTATTATCGTGTATAATAAAATCAACTGTAAAAGCAAAACGATGAGATAGATCATGAGGCTAATATATAAAGCTTCCGATCAACAGGTAATGTAAATTGTGTATGTCAATAAATGTTATTATGAAAATGTGCTTAGTATGAGTGAGATAAAGTTCATTACGTACAAATTACTAAAATTAAAAGTAGATCTTAATATCGTTATGACAATGTATTTAAATTACATGTGTGTTAAAATTTTAAATTCTCTATAATTTTTATTTTATTTTTATTTCATTTATATATCCTTAAATATAGTTATTATTATGATGATGATTATGATCGCAAGGTCTGATATTTTGTTAGAAATTTCATGTTTATTTAAAACGTAAATGTGATTAGCATAAGCACGATTATTACATGACGGGTTTGTCGTATTAAGTAAATAGTCGGAAGTAGCTATGTAAATGATTGGCTGTGACCATAGTCATTACTAAAAATACTAGTTGTCATTCTTGTACTTGGGGTGACATATTCGTTTGCTTTAAATACTCATTTACTTGCGAAATAGTCGGTCATAGTTGAGAATAATATTGTAACATCTTAGATAGTAACATGACATCATAACATCTTACTGTGCTGGAAAGAGTTGTACGTATGAAGAACAAAATGTGTTTTGTTATTGGTGAAAACTGTACTTTATATATCTTTTATAGAATAATTATTTTCCCTGGAGAACTACACATCTGGTTTTGGATAAAGACATTTGCTAAAAAATTTTCTAGACTGGAACATCAGAATACAAATTGTGATACACATTGAAAATTCTGGACATTTATGTTAACCTTTGTCTGACATCATTATCCGCCATCTTGGAACGGAATTGAGATTCAGACGACGTCAATTTAGAACTGTTTATTCGCAGAACCTATGTGGTTTGTTTTACAATTTTATGGCAAATATTTGGATCTTCTTCGTAAATCCCAAGTCTTGTTTCATATTTTTTACCTTAATCACTGTGTTTTTATAGGGAAATAAATTATTTAAATTTACAAAGCTTATTGTCTTTGCTCTTTTCTCTGAGTTACTTTAAACGAGCCGATACGTAAGAATATCTTAGAATAATTGTTAACTTCTTTCAGGAATTCTCAAACGCAAGAGATGTTCATTGTATCAAAACATTTCTTCATGCTATGAACATTATATCAGCGATCGCGCGCAGGTTTGAGATCGAAACAATATATCATAAAGAGAACAACTGAATAGTTCATTACAAGAAATGCACTCACTTGGGTCGTCGTCTTTTAACAAGTAGGAGTTGGTCATACAAATATGAATAATACTAATTCTTGCAAAGAATGCCTCATCTATGTGGTTGGTTCTGCAGGAGAGAACCCAGTCTCATACTGCTACCTTGATAGCATGGAGTTAGTTTTTCACTACATCATTAAATATAATGCCTGCCTTCTGGGGCATAATGACATGATGATACGAGGTCTAAAATCAGTGTATATTATTTCAAAATCAGATACTTCTTGGGATAGATTCATTTTAGTTGGCCGTTCTTCTTTTTTATTGTCTTTATTACCAGTATGGATGGATAACCAACAGTATACTATAATACTATATGACTTGAGGTACACAGCTCAGTATCTGTAATTGGGACATACCGTTAGTTTCAAGGGATTCTAAATAAAGGACAACATAATAATACGTTGTTCTCTCCCTTATTTCGCTGAAAATTGTTTCAGACACTTTTAAACGGAAAATATTTTCCTGAGTAGTAATACCACTGGCCCGTCTACTTTATATTTACCTTAGACAAACGAAGAGCAATATTCGTTGCACTAAATGTTTACATATACTTGTATAACTTGTAGAGGAATGCTGTCTTCATTTCGTTGACTTCGACTAGTATGAACATACATAATTGCAAACAAAACGTAAGTGCATACATTCATAATACAGTCATGTGTTGATGTTCGGACAATAAATTAAACTTGAATGTTAAACGACCTTTTGTTTGTTTATGTCGTACATACATACATACATACATACATACATACATACATACATACATACATACATACATACATACATACATACATACATACATACATACATACATACATACATACATACATACATACATACATACATACATACATACATACATACATACATACATACATACTATACCATACCATACCATACCATACCATACCATACCATACCATACCATACCATACCATACCATACCATACCATACATATACAAATGTGACTATTATATGTACCTTAAACATACATGTATACTTCAGGCTATTGTCTATTCTGAGACATTTGTAAAAAAATAACCTGCTATGTCAACACTGTTTCCATTTGTTTTCCTTATTATCTCGAAATAATATTATCTGCGTCTTACATTTTTGGCATTGTGGAGGATAATACTTATAGAAAGTAAATAATATGATTATTCGTTTTTAACTCTTCTAAATTAGTTTGATGCTTTTAAGGACACTTTGAATACATTAATGGCTATATCATGCCGATGATAAGAACGTTTCATAAAGATACTGAGGCTACGACAGTT